GGCTGCTCCATGCACCACGACGGCTGCCCCTGAAACAACCACTGCTGCTCCTTGCACCACGACGGCTGCTCCATGCACCACGACGGCTGCTCCTGAAACAACCACTGCTGCTCCATGCACTACGACGGCTGCCCCTGAAACAACCACTGCTGCTCCTTGCACCACGACGGCTGCACCTGAAACCACGACGGCTGCTCCATGCACCACTACCGCTGCCCCATGCACCACTACCGCTGCTCCTGGCACCACCACCGCTGCTCCTTGCACCACCACCGCTGCCCCTGAAACCACGACGGCTGCTCCTGGCACCACGACGGCTGCCCCTGAAACCACCACGGCTGCTCCATGCACCACTACCGCTGCTCCTGGCACCACCACCGCTGCCCCTGAAACGACCACCGCTGCTCCATGCACCACGACGGCTGCTCCTGGCACCACCACCGCTGCTCCTGGCACCACCACCGCTGCTCCTGGCACCACCACCGCTGCTCCTGGCACCACCACCGCTGCTCCTGGCACCACTACGGCTGCTCCTGGCACCACTACGGCTGCTCCTGGCACCACGACGGCTGCTCCTGGCACCACCACCGCTGCTCCATGCACCACCACTGCTGCCCCTGAAACAACCACTGCTGCTCCTGGCACCACCACCGCTGCTCCTGGCACCACCACCGCTGGTCCTGGCACTACTACATCTTCCCCTGTCTACACGACCAAGGCTCCTTCGCCTACATCGATCCCTGTCCCAACCTCGGCGACTCCTACCTACCCCACCAAAGCCCCTAGTACCTTTTCGCCCATTTGCGACATCCCCAAGAACGAAGGGCCAGTGCCGACCAACCCTCCTGCTGCCAAGTGCACCGAAGTCTCTGTCGTTGGTGACGCTACTTACTGCTTGGCTGGCGCCGTTTGCAGTGGCTCGGGTTCCCTGCCCGCCGGTGTTGGATGCCCCAAGAAGGGCGACGTTGCCGTCAAGGATTGCCACAAGCACTTAAAGTCGTACGCCGACTACTACAAGATGTGCGTTGCCCCTGTGGATGCCGTCTGCGTCAAAATTCCCTCCGGTGCTTGGGGCTGCACGTGGAGCACGGCCGACTGCTCGAAGACCCCGGCTCCCACCCCCGCGAGAACTGTCCCTGGGGCAACCACCACCCCAACCCCAGTCTACACAACCAAGTCCCCTGTCGTATCGTCGACTGCCGCCCCTGGCACGACCACCGCCGCCCCTGGCACAACCACCGCCGCCCCTGGCACGACCACTGCCGCCCCTAGCACGACCACTGCCGCCCCTAGCACCACTACTGCCGCCCCTGGCACGACCACCGCCGCGCCAGACACCACCACTGCCGCCCCAGACACCACAACGCCTTCGTACCCCACGAAGATGCCCTCGACCACCCATCACCCCACGACTCTCCGTCCTACTCACAAGCCAACGGAAACTCCGTACGCTACCACGACGACGCCGCGCCCCACGACTCTCCGTCCTACTCACAAGCCATCGGAAACCCCCGGCGCCACGACGACAGAAACTCCTGGGTACTCGACCCGTGCCCCCCGCCGCCAATAAATTCCAAATTGCCAGTTTGACATCAATTATATATATTTTTCATTGGTCTATTTCCAGTCTATTCGGCCGACAGCGGCATGCGCATCGGGTGGGTGGCGATGGCGGTGTGCCATGCGAGAGGATGTGGCGCGCAGGCGTCGAAGGCAGGACATGATGGAGAGTGCTGCTGAAAAACGAGACAAATACACAAACGATGCCATCCGTCGACATGGAGTCTGCGCCGCCCACATAATGTGGTGGTGGTGCTTCCTGCCACACCATTGCCACAGATCAACTAGATACAAGGATGCGACCGTGCAAATCACAGTACTTTGACGGCGACGGGCAAACGAGCATCGGTACGATCGACATGTACCCCACCACACGACGTCGATGCGCTAGCACGACTCGACCGAACAAAACGGCATGGAGTTTGTCCGACTTAGGCCAACACTGGCGTTTGCTTTTTAGCAGGTTGGGCGGACGAGATCGCGACGTCACTTTGGTCGACGTGGCTGCCATCGACCGTCATGGGAAGGAGCGCAGTACGTGCACCCACGACGGACTCGACCACCACGTTGTCAACTACAACGACACAACAAATGATTGGGCGTCGGACGGACCAGTGTACCTGGCACGACAGGGAATTGCGCGTCGAGGGCTTCCGCTTCCAACGCTTCGATGGCCGCCAGTTCGTCCAAGATGGATTCGTCGTCATCCACAGATAGCGATCCACCGATCAAGCGCCCGATTTCCTACTCGCGACAAGTCAATCCATGCCAACGACATGCCATGGTGTACATCGGCTCTCGCCTGCGCTTCGTGGGTATCGAGCATGAGCTCTTCCACGGCCTCGACCGTCATCTCCTTGTGGACTGCGTCCAAGACCGAGTTCCCAGCTTTGAGGCCTTCGAAAATCTACCAGGACGAGCTCACACACATGCGATCATGCCGCGCGAGTGGTACCTGGAGCTGCTGCGACTCCCACTCGACGCTGTCGACCATGTGGAGGACATTCATGAGGTGCGTGTCGGCCTGTTCGATCTGCTGCTGCTTGAACTTTCGAAGTTGGAGACACAGCTTCGCCCGGTCGCGCAGCTTCTTCTCCAGCAACTGCTTGGCTTTCTCCGTCAACTGAGCGGCCTCTTGCTCGAGAAGCGCTTGGTACTTCTTGAGGCGATCTCGCGACGCCTTCAGTTCTAGCACAGCTTTGTCCTTGGAAGACACTTGGTTCTGTGCACGCTGGCGATTAGCTGTCTGCCTCGCCGTCGGACCCGACGACGACGAGATCGGCGGCGGCGCGTTCGCCTTCTTCCCAAACAAGTTGCCCATGGCAAGTGTAACTATTCTTGTCGAGTTCCGACCTCAATATTTTGACCAAATATCCAAGTCGATCATGCGATACGAAACTTCCACCAATCAGACAGCTTAAATCCAGAATAGCCTGTTACATTTAATATATTTTTGCGTCTGAGAGTAGTTCATTTGAGTGCCGTGTTGAATTTATTGGGTTTTGTCCGAAAATTCGCAGTGTTCGATATCCGTCAAAACAGTCATATGGATGGCATATTTTGATCGATGAACACACGGATGCATGCCACCGACGACGCCGACGGTGGCGTCGACGACGGCAAGTCGCTTCTGTCTCTGCAGAATGCGGACGAAAACGGCACACCGTACTACAGGTCGTGGCATGGTAGCCATTGGTTCTTCTTCAGCGGCCGCATTGTCGTGCATCAACGGCAGTGGAAGTGCTCGTTGGCAACGTGGGCCTTCATCACGGGAATCGTTGCCGGCTTTGTCCATTTTGTGTACTCTCGATGTCGGCGTACACGTTGTGTCTGGCTCAGTCTCACCGTCTTAGGTCCATCTCTGCCCTCTCTCCATCGTTGAGCACAACCATGATCGTACTCTACTTGAACGTCCTGGTTTGGTTCGGCTTCACAGCATTCCGCGACCCGGGTAAGACCACGGCCACGCACACGCGCGCTTTTCAGCCTACGACAGGACTTGTACCCCAACGATACGACCAACTCATTCAAACTGAAATCGCCCCCGACCGCTTCTGCACGATATGCCTCGTTTGTGCAGCTCTCTTTGGTCGCATGCCCTCAATTCCTATGTCAGGTAAACAAGCCCCCGCGAAGAAGCCATTGTAGCACTTGCAATTGCTGCGTGGATGGGTTCGATCACCAGTACGTTACCGCGCGATACTCTCCATCTAACTCGTCTCCAGCTGCCCCTGGTACGGCACACCAGTCCATCGCCCCTCTGACGCCCCCGACACATCAGGACTGGCAACTGCGTCGGCCGGCGCAACTACCGGTCATTCATGGCGTTTTTGCTCGCATGCATCGCCGCGTCCGGGTTTGCGTGTGGGACACTCGCGTGGTTTACAATCGATCAGTGTGTTGTGCATCACGTGCCCTTTCACTCGTGTACGTTCGTTTTGTTGGTGCGTTGCTAAGAGCAACTCGACTAGTTTTCCAGCAATTCGTCCTTGTCCCGCCCTTGCTCTACGTCACTGCCGCCGTGTCGGCGTTCTTGATCGGGTTTGCTGTCTACCACTGCCGTCTCATTTCGATGCACCTGACCACGAACGAATATCTTCGCCATGCGCCGCCTTCCCTCTCCGAACCCACGACGCAATCGTCTTGGGCCGACAACTGGATGCTGTTCCTGACGTCCCCCATCCCCCCAAGGCATGTGCCCCACGTCCCGTGTGGCTGAAACCCGACTACTTTTGTAGCAAAGTCGTGCACAACGCCCCCTCCATCGACGCGGTCGTGGTTTGATGCTGAGCTCAGTGTATTTCTCGCCTCTTTGGCCACATTCTTGGACGATCTCCTTGTAGCAACCCATGAGAATGTTGCATTTCACGTCGTGGCTATCGCTTTGCTTTGGCGATCTCCAGCGTGCAACAACTGTGAATACCTTTCAAACGTACGCTCGTGGTAAGAGCGACTGCACGAATAAACGAACGCAGACAACGAATCGCTTGCGAATTGCAAACGCCCAGGTATCGACGGGGTTTCAGCCCATTCTCGCAATCCTTCGATTTCGGCTCTATGGGGCGGCCCAGCACATCATACACACCACCGTACACCATTCGTCGAGTACAGCACCACCTAGGCGCCACTTGGCGACCGCTGCATGCATTCGCTTGCCGCTCGGCTTGTCCGCGACACCCCACTCAACGAGGGAATACGCCATCAACTTGTACAGGAATTGCTTCGACGTATGCATTTATAGAGGTTACAATAAAATCCGGATCTTTATCCGGACGATCTTTCCAAATGTCCATGTCATTTGCCATGCTGCAGGAAGTGCTCGAGTTCCTCCGCTTGAGCCACACGGAGGAATGCGACGGCGAGCTGCTCACCCCGTTCTGCGACCCGTATGAGTTCTACATGGCACTGAGTGTAGTCGTCGGGACGATATGCATCGCGGGGATGATGGCCGGTCTTACGATGGGCCTGCTCAGTCTTGACAAACTCAACCTCCAGATCTTGCAGCTTGAAGGATCTGACGTTGAGAAAGAACGTGCGAGTCGCGTGCTGCCGCTCATTCAGCGGCATCATCGACTACTCGTGACGTTGCTTCTCTTCAACGCGGCCGCAAACGAGGCATTGCCAGTCTTTCTTGCCCGCCTCGTCCCCGAGACCCAAGCCATTGTAATTTCTGTCACGTCGGTCCTGTTGTTTGGAGAAATCCTTCCGTCGGCCGTGTTCACAGGAAAGAGCCAACTCGCGATTGCAGCGGGATTTGTTCCGTTTGTCGAGCTCCTGATGGCGCTCGCGTTCCCCCTCGCGTACCCCATCTCCAAGATGCTCGACTGGTGTGTCGGCGAGGACCACGACGTGACTCGGTACAAGCGTAAGGAACTCAAAGCACTAGTTGCGCTGCAGAAGGAAGCACGTCCGTTGCCATCGCGTGGCTCGATGCTGTCATTCTCCCCGTCCAAAAACGCAATGAAGGCGCGGCGGTCGGCAGCAATCTACAGCGCCGTCGCCGACCCAGGCATGAACCACGACAGCGACCCCGACGAAGGGCACCAACCTCACGCCACCCACTTACACACGGACGAAGTCACAATCATCCACGGCGCGTTGGACCTTACGGCCAAAACCGTGCGCGACGTGATGGTGCCGTGGTCCGAAGTGTTTATGCTGGACGAAGACTGCCGACTGACCAAGGACTGCTTGGCGCACATTCTCTCCTCCGGCCATTCACGCATTCCAGTGTACAGGCACCATCGCGTCAATGTCGTCGGTACGTCATACGTGGCACGCTGTCAAGGCAGGACGACCAGATTTGTGCATGCTTCGACTCGATCGTGCGTTTGTGCGAATAATTCTGGACCGGCAAGCATGCAGAAACCTGATGCAATCGTAGGACTGCTGTTGGTGAAGCGATTGATTGTACTCGATCCGTCCGATGCGCGACCCATTCGAGAGCTCATGCTGAAGAAGCCGATCGTTGTGTCACCGGACTTTAGCTGCTACGCTGTCCTGAACGAGTTTCAAAAGGGACGGAGTCACATGGCGCTGATCACGCCCCAAGTGGGGTACGTGCAGCACTGCTGGGTTACCGGCGTGCAGCTCGACGGGTCGGACGTCGACTTTGTCGGCATCGTCACGATCGAAGACGTGGTTGAAGAGCTCATTCAGGAGGAAATCCAAGATGAAACGGACCGATACCGAGTCGATGCCAATGCCCGGCGGTTCGCGGCCCAGACTCGAGGACTCCGCAAGTGCGCGACCAGACTCAGCGCATGGGCATCGCGCGCCCGACGACGCGTGCAGTTACGTCGCGCCAAAAGTGTCAAGCGCATGTCCATCACACCCCGCGTCCCCATGCTCAAGCGGCATTCCGTCGACCACGTCGTTGCCGGCGGCGAAGTCCACAGTGTGAGTGTACCAAGCCCCACGTGGGCAATCACGATCCCAACCGAGGCATCCCCGCTCTTGTCCAGGAAGCCGCCCAAGTAGTGTACTCTAGTAACGTTTCGCGACAAGGATTCTCACATGACATGAACAGCGCGAGAGTGTACGCGGTAATGGCGGCGAACGACGCCTGCAGTTCACACCATGGCACTCACGCTGGGACGCCGGTCCCAAGCATCGGAGCCCTCGAAACCCTCCATTACCGAGGGGCCACGTGCTCCAACCTTCAACGAGCTCATGGATATGTTCGCATGCAAATACTGCTTGTGATGCGGTGCCATGGCGCACCACCATTGGCATGGGGCTTATCTGCGTCATCCATTCGAGCCCAGTTGAATTGCAAAACCATATCTATATACACAACTGCGTGCACGTCGACACAGGTCGTTCCATCGATCGTTGTGTTTCTTCGCGACGCGCCGAGTTAGCAAGCCCACACTTGACTCGTTCCTGACGTGAGCTGTGGGTTGTCGGCATTGGGCCGTTTGAGAGGATGGTTCGAGTACACCCCTGTGAAAGGAGCAGGTTGCCTCAATAGGGACAGCGGGACAGCGATGCGACCAAGTGAGTCGACCGTCATGGAGTGGCGACTCGTCTTTGGCGGAAAAACGTGAGCTGACAGCGCCATGTCAATCACTTGCTGTTTGTCTACGACTCCGCCTTGCCAGTGTTCGACCATGATGGAAGTGTCCGAGAGATAGTCGACAAGGACGCATGGTAACTGATGGAGTTGGAGCAGCTGAGCGACGCGGTGGCGATGATGGCCGTCCAGGATCGCGCCTGTCTTGATGTCGACCAGGAGGGGTCGAACGTATGCGCCCCATGCCAGCGTCGCAGCCAACAGTGCTTCCACGTGGTCGATAGATACAATCGCTTCATGAGGCTTGAGCCACTCGACTTTGACGAGGTGGACGTGTGGAAGCGACTGGAGTCGGAACGAAGCGTCGTCATGGTCTACATACACGTCGTGTACATGAGCGTGAGGCGAACACAGCAGAAGGGACGGTGGAGTGAGAGAGAGGGCTGTCGGTACCTGCAGCAGGGAGCTCCTTCATTCTTGCTCGGTGTTCCTGACAGTAGAGACCGCCGACTAAATGGTCCCGCCAAGGCCGAACCGTTGCGACGGTTTCAGATTGCCTAAAATGGCCGTTTGTATTGGAGTGTACGACCAGTACGAACCAGGGACTTTGTACAATGTACTATTCGATTGAAAAAAGAATGGAATATTCGGTTGAAGGAACGTACGCATCGTTAATGTACGATGTTGAAGTTGGTGGATTCGGCCAAGTTAGTCGTCTATCACAACGTGCACTGGCGACGTCTCGATGGCTCCTCGAGTCGCTTCATTCGAGCCTTTGCCTTGTCTGGTATTTGCCAGATAGCCCTTAAACTTGTCCACTGCCCGCTGCACCCCTCGCTCACGCGCGAGGACGGTTTTGGTGGGAGGGCGCCCTGGCGCATCGCTTTCGTCTATGATTTCCTCCATGATGATTTCTTCCAGGACGTCTTCGATCGTGACGACTCCGAGAATTTCCACGGCCGACGGATCGATGTCAGAGTTTGACTGCCAGCATGCCGACACAACGTCCTAATGGAATCCTGTCATGAGTTTACCCCCGCGACACAAATGACCGCCGCACCGTTTGCGCCGTAACGAGGGCCATGTGACTCCTGCCTTCCTGAAACACATTCAAAATTGAATAGCACGAATGGTCGGGGGCAATGACGATGGGACGGCGGAGCATCAAATGTTTGAGTGGTTTTTCCTCGGCGGGGTTGAGGACTATCAGCCGCTTCACGAGCAACAGGCCGACCTGCATGTGATGTCAGCCATCCAAGCGCTTCCAAGGGATTGTGTGGTGCACACAGCACGCATAGCCGGGGGCACAGTACCACGTTTGTTCGATGGCCCTTGTACACGGGGATGCGAGAGTACCCGCTCGCCAGGATGCGCACCATCACGGCGTCGTTGAGTTTTTCTTCAACGTCCAGCATGAAAACGTTGTCAAACGGCGTCATGATCATTTGCACAGTTTTCGTGCTCATGTCCATCGCGCCATGGATAATGGCGACTTCGTCGTTGAGAAGGGTCGTGCCTGGGAGATTTGGCAACGTTAACATCGACCTGTTTGGGCCAAAGCACTGCCAACTCACTCGTCATGGAAGGCCGCTGCGTCATGACCGTCTGGCCGTCATCTGTCGGGAGCGGCGGGGCGGTGGCTGGCAAGGTAGGTTCGTGATCGACGAGGAGCGGGGTCGTGGCATCGTATAGCATCTTGCCCAACAACGGCAACGACTGCGCTTTCGCAGCAGCGCCATGCTGTGGCTTGGTTGTGTCGTTTTCGAGCTGTTTGAGGCTTTTTCGATGGTGCAGAGCGACGAGCGCCTTGAGCTCCTTGCGCTTGTACCTGACAGAGCAAGTCATTCATCAAACGAGTGCTGCCTTCAACGTGGGGTACTTACCTGGATACGTGGTGGTCGTCACCGAGAACACAGTCGAGGGCTTTCGCGATCGGCCACGCAACCGGCAATGCCATCCACATGAGTAATCGAACGATGGGCACCAGGGTCGCCGCAATCGTGAGCTGCGCCTTGCCGGTGAAGATGGCGGACGGGAGGATTTCCCCAAAGAAGAGGACACACGACACCGAGATCACGACTGCGTACGTGTCGGGAACGATGCGCGCGAGAAAGACAGGGAGGGCTTCGTTGGCGATCGCGTTGAACAAAAGCAGCGAGACGAGGACGCGGTGGTGCTGCTTGACGACGGGCAGGAGCCGCGTCGCGTACGTTTTCTCGTCATCGGACCCTGTCGTTTCCAGGATTTGCAAGTTGAGTTGGTCGAGGCTGAGCAGGCCCATGGTCAGTCCTGCTATCGTCCCTGCCATCACGACCAGCCCCACCGACACGAACAGGGCAAAGTAAAACCCGTGGGGGTCGCACGCCACCGTCAAGAGCGCGGTCGGGTCACACGTCTCGCCCACGGTGCCTCGGTGCACCAGCGCAGTCGAGTTCATGTCGATATCCAGTCGCACGACAGCTACACAGTCGCAACCTTTCGTGCAATTGCCGAACAACCGTTTCAACAAAGGGGTGGCTACCAACCACACTCTTGTGGCGTCTCCGAGCGGCCCTCGGCATCGTCTCCGCCACGAGCTTGGATGCACTCCTTTTCCCCACGGCGGCGGGGGGGGGTCGGTTTCCACCACGATGTGCGGGGGAGGTTTGTCTAGCTTGACGCTGTTCGTGGCACTCGGTCAGCGCGGCTCATGAACGTAGTACAGGCGACGATAGCTCTTTCGACCATTGTGCTCGGCCGAGTAGACCGACGCGCGTCTTTGCAGGAGGACGTGGCGCGAACAAGACATTTCTGCTTGGTTTATCACTTGAAATTACGCTTAGAGAACGCCATGGCACTTGGGGCGGTGCTGTAGACTGGCGTTCGTCGATACACAAACAGTCGTCCTCCATTTACACGGCGCTTCCTTCCGACGACTCGCCAATCGAGATCTCGACATGCTCATTGTGGCGGCTTCGCACACGAGCGAGCATAGTTTTGAACTTGATCGTGGCGCGTTGGAGCCCCCGCTGGCGCACGTGGTCCATATACGTGTCCGCGGAATGGGGCGAGTCGCTTTCATCCACGATCTCTTCCATAATGAGTTCCTCCAGCACATCTTCAATCGTCACGATGCCGAGCATATCCACGACGGCCGGGTCGATGTCGGCATTGCCCTTCCAGCACGCCGTGACAAGGTCTTTCTGCGGCGTCACCAACGCAAAGTGACTGCGGCCCTCTTGGAACAGATTTAGAATCGAGTAACACGAATGGTCGGGCGAAATAACGATGGGGCGGCGCAGAATCAAGTCTTTCAATGGCTTTTCCTCGGCCGGGTTGAGTACGATCAGCCGCTTCACCAGCAACAGACCAACCTACATCAGGACGACCCATGAATCGGTGTGCGAGCGCCAACGACGGCAACGTACCACGTTATTCCGGTGGCCCTTGTACACGGGGATGCGAGAGTACCCGCTCGCTAGGATACGCACCATCACGGCATCGTTGAGCCGTTCTTCGACGTCCAGCATAAACACTTTGTCGTAAGGCGTCATGATCATCTGGACGGTTTTCGTGCTCATGTCCATCGCGCCGTGGATGATGGCGACCTCGTCGTTATGGAGGTAGTTGCCTACGCATGCGTGGCTCGGTGAGACGATCGCATTGTGGCGACAGAGCGACGGTGACGACCAGCGCGAGCGCTGCATCGTAACGTGCAGAGTCGATTGCACCTGTCATGGAGTACAACGGAGTCGCGGTGCCAAACTCGTGAGGAGGAGGGGAGTACATGGGCACTGACGGTGGCGCAGTCAACGTCGATTCGTTGGTCGCGTCCGAGTCTACAGGCAGCGCATCGTCTTCTTCTTGATCCCCCGACGACGAAAACCCGCGCGTCGTCGACAGCAGCGGAGGGGCCGTCACGTGCAGCGAGCCATACAATGCTTTGTGCTTCCCATTCGATTCTTCGATCATCGGCGTCAGCGACGACGTGGCGATGGTGAGGTCGCGAGTTGTCTTTCGAAGCCATTTTTGGCTCTGTTTATGATGTAACGCGACCAAGGCCTTCAGCTCTTTGCGCTTGTACCTATCGGAACCTTGTGAGTTGACAGCAATGTCTTTGGGTCCCTTCAAATGGACAAGTTCTGTCCAAAATGACAGCAACATGGAGACTTTTGACTCACCGGGAAAAGTCGTGGTCTTCTCCGAGCCATCGATCGAGGAGTTTGGCAATGGGACATGCGAGCGGAAACGCCACGAACATGAGGAGGCGGACAAATGGAACAAGCGCGGCAGCGATGACGAGCTGCTGTTTGCCAGTGAAGATGGCGGACGGAATAATTTCTCCAAACAGGAGCACACACGTGACGGAGATCAGGACGGCCTGCGCCTCGGTCACAATGCGCGACAGAAACACTGGAAGCGCTTCGTTTGCCGCGGCGTTGAAAAGAAGAAGCGTCACGAGGAGGAGATGGTGCTGCTTCACGATGGGCAAGAGCTTCTCAGCTTGATCTTTCTCGTCGTCGGTGCCGGACGTTTGCAGGATTTGCAGGTTGAGTTGATCCAAGCTGAGAAGGCCCATGGTGAGCCCGGCCATCATACCGGCAACGGCGATGAGCCCGATGACAGATAGTAGACATACAAGGAAGCCTTCAGGGTCACATGCAATGGTCAAGAGCTCGGACTCATCGCAGAGGGTTGTGTTCATGCGGGCGGAAAGCAGAGCGGCGGTGGCGGCGGTCGTGGACACTTGGAGATGGGATGTCAACTGCGGTCGGATGGACTGTCGTTGGGAGAGCGCGAAAACTCCACCAATCATATCTCAGAAATCCCGAATCCAGCCCTTTGATAGGTCAAAAATAATTTCATGTTTTTGCCCAAGCGATGATATGTTCATGCCGGCGTTATGCAGCCGCACGTGTCGTGACAATGAAAAGGATTGGTTGAAATGCATTTCTTTTCAGCCAATGAAGTCTGTCTATATCCACATCCATTATATGGATTGGCTATAATTGAGGGTCATGCAATGATTTTTCCACACTCGACAGTTTTTTCGAAAACCTAGGCTAGGCCGACGCGCGCACGAGGTCGACGGCCGTGCGGTAGAGGGACGTCGTGTTGAGAGGGTTGCCGGGGAAGGCGGGGCTGTACGTGGCAGGCACAAAGGTGTACTCGAGGGGAAGCAGGGTCTCGTTCCACACGGTCTTCCACGGCGAGATGGCGACCAAGGCAAAGTTGAATGTCGCGTCCGCGTACAAGTCGGAGATGTTGGCCAACGGTTGAGGTACAAGCGGGTTCATCTCGACGCCCAGCGCCACGGCATCGTCATAGAGAGCACCCTACCACCAGTCATGACCTTCCATCCCATCATCGTCGAGCAATCGTACCGTGTTATACACTTGGCCGCCCGGAAACGAAAAGAACTGCTGGGGCGCGTCCTTGTACCCGCCAAACGCGACTGTCTTGGCCAGGTTGTGCTCCTGAATAAAGCTCGAGAAGACAGAGCACGTGCTGCCGCAGTACCCGTGCGACACAAGGATCACATATTCCGGCGACAGGCCCTTGAAATTGGCGCCTGGGGGCGGAAAGAAGTCGTTGTAGGAGCTGCACCCGTAGTACAAGCCCTGGGTCACGTCGCCCAGGACAGTGTTGGCCACCTGCATCCAAACGTGAACTCCACAACCCCAACGCTGAAACGCACCCCGTTCGTCGCCCACGACGCATCCAAGAACTGGCGCTTCGTGGTCGTGCTGTACCACTGGTTCGGGCAGAATTCGCTCGAGCAGCTGCCGGGGTCCGTGCGGAGCAATGCTTCGCCCTGCGTCGCCAGCAACGATACGAGTGGGCTCGCTTGGACATGGTACACAGCTTCCGTGTGGGGCCCAACGCCTTCCCGCGGCCCGGGCAAGTCGAGCTGGGGAAACAAGTACCGAATCGTGGCATACCCCAAACAAATATCGCCGCCACCGTTGCCGGTCAAATCCAAGATCAACGTCGACTTGTTCGTGAGGGTGAACTCAGTTAAAGCGTCCGTCACGTTGGCTGAAAAGTCTTGAGTGAACGATCCGTTGTCGTCGCCGCCGATCGCAGAAAACCCGGCAATCTTGAGCACCCCGACCGAGTTGTCCATCGCATCGTACGACACTACCGGCGTCGGTTCAAACAAACTGTGGTAGATCAAATGGCGGACGAGCCGTTCAAAGTAGTGCTCGAGCTTGCCGTTGTGGCTCGCCGGCGGAGCACGACCTGCAGGCACGTGAATCGTTGGAAAGATGAAGCTGGCTACCAGGTTTGGCGACTCCATTGAGCCCAATCCAGTTGTACGTGACAGTCTTGGTCGAGTTGGTCGCGGCATGGTACACCGAGTACTCGACAAACGACTTGGTCGGCAAGTCCAGCGAGCTCAGGGGGCGGTACACAAACTGTCCACGACCCGTGCCAAAGCCAGACACGGCCAGGTTGAAGCGCGTCCCGCCATCCTTGAGGATGCCTACGTGGTCGTCCGCGAAGGCTTGGAGAGCGTTCAGCGCAGGTTCGCCGTCGATCTCGACGACTTCCCACCCGACAACGTCGAAATCATGGGCGTCGGTGGGGAAGAATTCGCGGTAAACGTTGACTTCGGTCGCGTCCGGCTTGCTAAACTGGATAATCTACACAACACGTTAGGTTGCCAAGGCCACGACGATCGAGGCCAACTTGTTTGCCATCGCGCACGACCGAGATGAGCGACGCAGGCTGCAGAGCGTAGAACTGCGCGTACACACTCGGCTTGTGGTAGCTCGTATGGGCGTCCTGGAGCTTCTTGAATACGTTGTACAAAGCATTTTGGAGCTCGAGATCGTTGGAATAGTCGGTCGCTTCGATGGCGGCCAACGCACCAGCCACGTCGACAGCCGCCAACGAGTACGGTCCGAACGCATGCTGGGTCTTCGAAATCTCGGTGAACACATAGCTGGGCCACTACACGTCATGGGCTCGGTCAGCCGATGGGGTGCGATGGTGCAGGGTCGGGCGTACCGTGCGGCGAATGTGCTCGAGGACCAGCGCCTTCTCCGTCGCGTTGTATGGAATCGAGTGCACGCATGTCTTGAGTTGATCGAGCGTGAGGAAGCGAGATGTCAGGCACACGTTCTTCGGCTTGGCCGCCTGTTGCTGTTGGACTGCTGCAGTCGACGTTCCCACTGTCGCTGTCAGCTGGTTGGGGCTGGACGTCGCGAGGGAGTAGAGGCCAAACGACCCGACGAGGCCCAACGCGATGACCGCCGCGATCTTGAGCGGTACGGACCGATCCTTCTTGCGCTGTTCTTTCTGCAGGAGCTGCGACGTTTCCATGGCGCTCGATGTGATCGCAAGCCAAAGTCAATCGCCCACCGCCAGCACATCGACAGGATATCATCCGGATACCGTGAGAAAGGTCGTCAATCCGAGGTCAAACCACGTTAAATACTTTGATTGGACAATGTACTGCCGTCGAAAGGCGTTGTTCAATCTCGGGTCGACAACTTCAACTGGGTGTCACGTTGCTGAGCAACGACGGGAGCAACGACAGAGCGGCACGAGCAACAACACAAGCGTTAAATAGTCTGTCGATATCGATCAACTACGCCGCCGACGCTCTTCATCCCACACGAGCAGCCATTGCAACGTGGCAAGCACCTTGGACGCTACAGTCACGCCGAACTCAATCGCGTCGACGTTGGGGTACCGCAACAGAACGCCTTGCAAGTCGCCGTGCTGGCGGAGGTCTTCCAAGAGTCCCAACGGCATCGGCACTTCACCCACCGCATGCAGCCACGTCGTCAGCACTTGCTGGTACGCGGGTGAGTCTCGTAAGAGCACGAGTTGACCCACTCCGGTCTACACACAAGCACGTCGTGAGCACGCGCCACGAAACGTACACGTACAATCGAGATCGGTAGGTCGCGCTTGGCGTCGCACAGCACTTCGTCCATGATGTGGATGCCCTGGTGGACGACGTGGCTCGGGTCCATGTGCAAGTGGTGCGTCAAGTTGCGCAGTTGCGTGCTCCACATGCGGCACAGCGGGAGAAAGTTTACAATCACCCGGAAGAGGGACTTGGGCAGCGCGAATGCTTTGACGAGGTACGACTGGTTGGTCGTTAGTGGCGCCGGGAAAGGGATGGTGGGCGGCATCAGGCCCACCGACTGGTCGTGCATCCGTTGAAGGGGTGGACGAGGCGCGAGCTAGAGACGACAGCAATGTCCGATCCATCCAAAACGATCGGGGTCACGTACGGTCGCCCTGCCGCTGAGAAACAATGTGTACATTTTGACCAGCATCAAACTTCGGAGCTTCCGCAGCCGCATTTGCATCAGCGCTTGTTGGTTCTGCGACCACACAGTCGGCAAAATGCACAAACAAAACGAGGTCTCGATACCTCGATCGTGAGGATTCGAATGAGCTCGTCGTTGCCGCGCCGCGCGGCATTGTCCAACGCGGTCTTATCCCGCTCGTCCTTGAGAAACATGTCGGCCCCTGCCGTGAGGAGCGTCGTGATGGCGCCGGCATGGCCACGCTTGGCTGCCAACAGAAGGGCGGTGCTGCCTTGGCGCTACGATGTACACATGTCAACGACAGGATGCCCCGCTGGCATGGCCGCACCGTTTGCTTGTCGACTAGGGCACCAGCCGAGATAAGAATGTCAGCGATATCTGCGTGACCTCTTTGGGACGCTAGCATGAGCGCGGTCATGCCTTCCATCTACGGCGTTCGATGCACCGTGGTCAGTTTGGTGCCCAGGCACAATGGAGGAGGAAATGAGAGTTACGTTGGCAGCGTTGGCGTCGGCGTGCTTGTTCAGCAACGCCTTGACGACGGCGGCCTGGCCTTCTTGCGCCGCACGCATCAAGGGAGTCGTGCCTTTCTGGTTGGCGTAATTAGCGTCAGCACCATGGGCCAAAAGCAGGTTCACGACATCGATGTGACCGAAGTGAGCGGCCGGAACGAGCGCCGCGCTGCGGAATTCCGACGATGCACCGCCTTCAAGAAGGCACTCGGTGATGGCAACAAGGCCCTTCTGTGCCGACAGGAAGAGAGCCGAGCACTTCTTGTCGTTCAACTCGTTCACGTCCACATGGTGAGCTATCAGCACACGACAAGCGTCCAAATTTGCAAACTTGACAGCGCTCATCAAGAGGGTGAACCCCACGTCGTCCTTTACACTCAAGAGCATTTGCTGAATCTTTGGCGGTTGCTGTGTAAACACCGACGCAAAGTGCTTCGAGTCCCCGGTTCGCAACAGCCCAAACAGGCGAGCTTGCAACTGTTGCTGCATGTCCTTTTCATCATCGGTGCTGTTGCCGCTTCCCCACGTCTCGTCGGGCATGAACGTCAAACGAATTTTCTTCCTCACAGGCATGCTCATTGCGGCGTCCGAGTCGAGTGGTGCATGGATTCCTACATCGTGTTCGTCGTCGACCATGTCCACGTCGATCGACGTTGCGCTAGGAGGGAGCGGCGCAGCGGGGTGGGTCCGCAACTCCCCTGTCGACATCCCAGTAGCCGTAACTTGTTCGCCATCGATTGCATCGCCGTGGGCCGCATGCGGCGCACGTCGAGCTGTTCCTTCTTCGTCCATCCTGCCTGGCCCGTCTTCAGTGTTATTACCAATACAAACGCCCACTCGTATGAGCGACCGACCCACATTCCGGATAATGGTTTCATCCGGATACGATTTGGCCCACCGTTCTTTTTCGATCGTCTCTCTGCGAAGTCGTTGGTATTTTTTAATTGACTTGATATTTGTATGTTAGTCGTTGGTTTTCTGGTTTTAAATTCACAACTTGCCAACACAACCACAAAATGCACACGTTGCCGCCGTCGAGGGTCCGTGGCGCGCCATTTGGCCCCATGCAGCGCTCGGACTAGGTCAAATCACGCACACAATGCTCCCTATTGTGAAGACTGTTGTCTATTCTCGAGTTACGATATCTCCATGCAAGGCCAGCTCGTTGTACGAGCCTGTTGGTGCTGGGGTGTTGAAACGGCGACTCTTGTCGCCGTTGAGGTTCACGGGATGAGATGTTGCATGAGCCCACTACCTCGAATGGAATTCTCCAATAGATGGGCTCGTTGGAACCAGACGATGGAGCAGAGTCGTTGGCGGTTGCTTCATTTGGAGTCCAGATATGATGTGGCATCACTCGAGTTCGGCGAATGTGTTCATGTCATCGCTCCATTTGATAAACAACCTGCATGGACGAACGCGCGCCACCGACGCCTCCAACCTTCAGCTGCCACATACCAAAGGTTTGTAATAGTTCAAGAGATGCCTGCACAACGTCCAGCCTCACAGGATTGTGTACTCGGCAACACGAACGCGAACGACGCTCATGCCTTGGCGCAATGGATGCGGTTCGTCCAGTGCTGTAGCGAGCCTATGAGGACATGGAGTGGCTGCATGACTGCTTCTCCAGTTCGTGGGGGGTGGGCTGCCGGCTGGGAGACAGTCGGCGCCCATCACCCTCATTCAGGCAACGCGCGTCTCGGCGAAGGGATGGGCACGAAGTACGAGCTTTGCCACGACAATTTATTGCGGCGCTTACCCCGAACGCCCGTTGGAGCTAACGGGTCGATGGGATGTCCAGCTGGGGACACTAACGGGCGGTCGACTCGCATATGCAAGTGTCGTTCCCATTTCTCGTTTACTCATGACGGTGCTACGTCGGCCGCGTACGACCTCCATCTCGTCGAAGGATGCGGCGCTGTACCTATCGCTTCAAACCACCGCCGCCACGAGCCCAAAGGAATTCATGGCATGGCCAAAATGCGTCCACTCGCGGAACGGCATGTTTGACTTGTCGGCGGATGCGACCGAAGTGACGTTCGTGCAAGCTGGGATGTACCATGTTCAAATGACGGCAGAGTGCACCGACTGGTCGGGTGGCTTGGGCGTATGGCTGCGACTGAATGGGGCGTACGTCGCCATGACGGCTTTTCACGAGCGCGGCGATTCGCAGTGCTTTGCCCATCGGGTCTTCGTTCATAAAGGCACGAAACTGAAGGTTTACTCGAGCCTCGCGACCTCGATTTGCGCTTGCGCGACGCTCTCCGCCGTCCTCATTGGAGCGTCACCGTAACAAGTTAACGTGGATATTGGTCAAGCATGCGCTTGGCCTGCATCGTGGCAAATCTCTGGGATGAACTCACACAACTGTAGGCGGCGCGACGTTGTCCATGGCGTCGTTTGCAGCAGTCGAAGCAGCGAAAAACGACCCGTCGGTCGTGTGGCTAAAGCGCAGCCATGGATGGCGCCACCCGTCGCGCTGCCCTCCATCGCGATGCAGATCAATGCAGCAAGAAATGCGCCTCGGATTCCCTCCACCGATTCGAGTTGGAAGACGTCCAAAGTTGGCGAGTTTAAAATTTAAAAGCAAACGTGAGGAACGCCGTGTGGCCGCGCATCTCGTCGTCGCGTTTGGCCAACGTGAGCTTGGGCTTGGAGTCGTCGGCTTGGTCTTCTGCTTTTCGCTTTCCTCGCTGGTACTCCTCTACCCACCGACGCGCGCCGTTTACTCTACCGAGATGCATGTTTGTACTACCTTCAAAAGATGGCACAGGGAGATGCACGGTGCGCGCCGAGTACGGCATCAGCCGCGTTTCAATCGTGCGGATGCCTGCAACGGTGGGGGTGGTGGTTTTACACGGATGGAATGGACGCTATATTTCACGTACGATCGAATCCGTCGAGGCGCAGCGCGTCGCACGTTCGCTGGACTTGCTCCATGCACGGCGAGTACGATGCAAATGCTCCGTTGTGCTTGAGCATCTTCTTCGCGTGGCCCACCTGGCATGCCGATTCAAGATCGAGTCGAATACATCCCGTCGTCGTACTGCTTTCCACGGGCACGGGAGGTCCAAGAACACCACGTCGACTTTGCCAGCCAAATGATCGGGAAACCCTGACGCGCTCGACATCAACGTGGCAAGAGAAGCAAGCACGTACCTTGCTCGCATGCGTCGCGGCATTCAATGGTCACGACGCTGTCCAACCCATTCGCGTGGAACTCGTCCCTGCGTCGCACATGTGGAAAAACTCGTTTCAACGCACGGACGTACTTGGCCACTTGCGCGCGCGTGGCGTTGAACTCGAACGTGTAAACGTGACCATGTGGAGCGACTGTTCGGGCGAATGCCGTCGTGAGGGCACCACTGCCGGTCCCCGACTCGATGACAATCTTGCCTGGACGTGTCGCTGACTCGAGCAAAGAGAACCCATGGAATATCGATCGTGGACGTACCTGGTGCGCAATGCGTCTGAAAAATGATCGAACTCGCATCCAACGTGAACACGATCTGCGTGCGATGACGCAGCGCTTTGCTCCAGAGTTCGGGCGTTGGAGACAGCACGTACATATACCCTTTCGAGATGCGAGAGTACACCTTGGCGCCGTAGCGATTGCCAATGATGTCGTTGTGGTGGAACGCCCCGTGGCGGTTTTGGTAGATTTCGTCAGGTTTTACGTAGGTGTACGTGATGCTGTTGTGCGTTTCAAACAAGATCACGAGGTCTCCGGCTTCAACGATGGTCTTTCCAGCCCACATGGAGAACTGCGGCGTCTTGGCCACCACGGCGGCGGCGGCATCCGCATCAGTGGCCATTTGCATTGTTGAATATCTACACAAAGGATTGGTGCTACAATCTTGATCATTTCCCCCAATATTTTTCAAATATAACCACGAAATTCATCTGATTTTTCTGAATAGTTTTCATTTTTCCAACGTTTGGCCAAACGCATCGACCGACTTTCCGGACAATTCATCAAATTCCAGAGTTCAAAACCTCATCGGTGCTTTTGCAGTGAAGATTATTCATTTTGAAAATTATTGACTGTTAGAGGAATTACTCATCACACAGCAATTCACAATACCATGCTCATACATATAAACTCATCACATCTTTTGCAACCACTCATGTGCGAGTTGATCGACTCTCACGAACAAGTGATGAAATAATAGATAAGACCTCTTTTGTGTCTGGAATACGTGTATTGCGGTTCAGTCGGCGACGGAATTTAAGGGGCACCGAAGTATTCGTACTACACACAAATATCCCGCCAATGAGAACTCAATTCACAAAAATCGCAACACCATTGGTGGAAACTTTGTTAAGGCGGGAAGCGGGGGATGACAGTGCTGTGCTTGGTGTCATGGAAACTGTATCAAGCCCCCAAAAATGCCAAGAAGGCGATATAGTCACGCCAAGAAACGTGAAATGATCGTTAAGATGCAAGCAGCATCCATTCGGGACATTGCAGCCGACACAGGCATCCCAAAGAGCAACTTTTCTCGATGGAAGAAGCAGAGTAACGAGATTCTCCACTTTGAGGGCACAATGAAACGCTTTCACCTCCATTGTGCCGGTCGCCCCGTTATGATCCCAAACGCTGACGGACTTGAGACCTTCATGCACAAGCGACGCGATGCTGAGCTTGCCCTGACATGCACGCACCTCGTCAACTACCTGAAGCGCAACCACAAGTTGTGGCTCGAGCAGTACCTTTCACACCACCGCAGCAGGTACAAGTCCCTCCTGAAACTTCTCCAACAGTTCTGTGCTCGTCATGGATTCACACGCCAGAAGCCAGCGAGGTCCAAGCAGACACAAGAACAGTTGGAGAAGATTCGCAGAAGTTCGCCCAAGACTTCAACGTTGCGTTCAGCGGCTTCGATCCAAGTCTCATCATCAACGTCGATGAGACGGGCATGACGTACGACATGCCTCCCCATGCCATTTGGTCCGTTCGTGGTGGCTCGTCGAAGATATGAAGGTGAGAAGCACTCCTACCCGATGACGGCGGTCCTCTCTGTGCGAGCTAATGGTGACAAGCTTCCCATCCTTTTCATCATGCGAGGTGAACCTGGCGGCCGCATTGAAACCGGCGAGTTCGACACGTATCTGATCGGCCATTACTATGCTGTTCAAGAATGTGCCTGGATGGTTGCCAGGATCTGGGCATTTTATTTGCGGCACTACTGAGACCTCGGCTCAAAGAACCCTCGGTACTACTTCTCGACAATTTCGACTCTCATGTCAGCGACGAAGGCATGAAGATTGCAAGCGAAGAGTGTGGGTGCATCGTGGCTCCGATCCTTCCGAACGCAACAAATGTGGTCCACCCATTGGACGTTGGAATTATAGCACCTTCCAAGCGGCACCTGCGTAACTTATGGTTGGAGGAAGACTTTAATGAGGGTGGTGATAGTGAGGAAGACGTAGATTTGATAAGTATCCCAGCCCAGGAGAAGCGGCTTGTTATGATTCATCGAGAAATTAAGGCTTGGACGATGATCACGCCGGAAGAAATTAGACAGAGCTTCTCAAAGGCAATTCCGCAATAAATGTATTCCTTTTGTAATTTTCAGTAAAAGAAAGTTCGACGCACCCGGGACTCGAAGCCTGGGCTCACTCAAGACACACAACGTGTTTTACCACTGCGCTATCGCGGCAAACGTTTATCTTTGTAAGTGGCGCATCGTACCAATCAATTTAATATGTCTCGATATTTGAAACTGCTGAAAAATGAGTCTTGAATGTGGTTGGCCGTAAAATCCTACGAATTTCGAAGCTCAGCAGCCAATCATTCTGTGTATTTCAGAATAATCGAAGTAGTAAGTGCCCCTTAAATTCCGTCGCCGACTGTACGTGTATTCCGGCTAGATCTATTCGCAGCAGCTTTGGCAGCAGTCACAGTCTTATCGTGTTGATATTCAGACCATACTTCCTTTACAGCATGAAGGTTTCGACCTGCCAGCTGTGCAATCTGCTCTGCAACACCTACTTCATCTGTTTCACTTTACTGGGGACATTTCACTTCAAGCGACCCCAATATTCTATTTCTCGTCCATTTCACACAAGAATTTTCACATTCAAAAGAGAATAAAAAGAAAAAGGGATCGTCTATTGACTGCAGAGTGTGAAAACAACTTTTTGGCGCCCAAAATCGACTTTGTTTGAATGGCCAAACAAAATAATGCGAAATCAGAAAAATTGTTTCTGGCTTTCTGGAATACTGGCCTTGCGCATATCCAAGCTCATGGCACCGACTGGGCGTGAGCTGTCCTTCCAAAGGAAGATAGAGGTCACCATGGCCTTCATAACCTCATGGAGACTGGAAAGTTGCCGCATGGGGCCATGGCAAAGGTTGGGTCTCAATTTTCCTTGAGCAGAAAGACCGTGGCCAAAATTTGGCGAGCATTCCAACGCGACGCCATGATGCCATCAGGAAACTTGGACATGTTGGTCGAAAGAATGCCTACGAGCCTGGGAGAGTGACGAACCTCGTGGCGCAAATACCTCAGTCACGACGCACGACAATGAGAGATCTTGCCGAGGCCACCGGGATCCCACTAACCACGATCCATCGCAGCCTTCGTAAGCGCCCTTTGCTCAGACGATCATCAAGGCTCAAGCTATTGCTTACCGATGCCAATGCCGCCGAACGCCTTGATTTTTGCCACTCGTACGTTCGTCCGAGCGGTCCTCACGGCTCGCGAATCGCCGCAAGCGGCGCTGGAAGCCGGTCTCCCGAACCGCCCCCAATCGAGTTCGATGCGATGTTCGACGTTGTTCACCTTGATGAAAAGGGGTTCAACTCTGACAAAGACGTACGGAATGCTTACCTCACAGAGGACGAGCGGCCGGATCACCGCACATGCAAGAGCAAACGTTTCATCCCGAAGGTGAAGTTTCTTGCTACCGTCGCGCGTCCTAGATATGATGCTGAGCGAGGACGTATGTTTGACGGCAAGATTGGTATGTGGCCAGTCGTAAAGTACCAGCCGGCTGTACGGAACTCCCGCAATCTGCCCCTGGTACCCTTTGTACGACCTAGGCCACGGTCGACGGAGAGCTGTATCGCGACTATGTCATCAATCGTATCATTTCCGCAATCAAAGCATCCTTCGTGTGTCTACCGATGGCTGGCTGTTTGTTGTGCGAAACCAACCACCCAAAAGTCCTGACCTCAACGTTCTTGACCTCGGCTACTTTGCGTTCATTCAGTCGCTACAATACAGTATGGTCTGTCGCTCCGTGGACCACGTCATTGCTGCCACACTCACAGAATTTCATGAGGTGGATGCTGAGAAGCTTTCTAATGTGTTTCTTATCCAACAGGCTGTGATGCGCCTTATTCTTGAGAACAACGGAGGCAACATATTTCGCTTGCCACACTTGCGAAAGAATGCTTTACAGCGTGGCGCAGCTCTGATGGCAAACGTGTCCTGACCATCGTCGCTCTTGGTTTAGTGATCATTTTAACCAATAGCATGCATGAATTTTGTTCTTAGCCAAGCAATGAGAAATATCCCCGGTAATGTGGGAAAAGTGAAAATTCTATTGTCCCCAGTAATGTGAAACAGAGGAAGTACAGCATTGCTATGGCGTAGGTGTGCATGCATGCGATTTATCAAAATACGTTCGTCTCTCGATAAACTGCGCGTTTGCTCACTATCGACGAAGCTTGTGATCTCGTCGTAGAGCTCAGTGGCGAGTCCAGGCATTGCGCGCTTGTTGAAGAATGAAAGGTGAATATTCATGCAATCCATACACCCCATGATCCTAAAGCTGACCAAATAAATGAAGCATGAATTATCATATGGCAAACAAATAAACTCCGTCAAGGTTATTATGACATTACGAACGAATATACTCTTGCGAGAACTTTACCAATTGTCGAAGACTATTTAGGATGCAAATTGACTATCATTCTTGACAATGATTGACCATTTCATAAAGAGTATTCTGTTTGAAGGAATGTGATCAAATCCATTGTATTCCAAAAAATATACGGAGCAGTACAACAATCTTTTAATGAAAAGATCCATCTATAAACACGCAAATTGAAAAAAGGTCGTCGATGCGTTCGACCACTGTTAATTGATTCGACGCGGTCTCCGTCACATGGCACAACCATCGCTCGTCGACATCATGCATCGTGCCGGATAGACGATCGCGGCGAAGAGCGTCGAGACCATGCAACAAGGCGTTTGCGAAGAAGGGGGATGCGGCCCTCCGTTTCAACTGAAGCAGCCAGACATGGACGGGAGTGAGAGGGCGGCACTCCTGTAGTATTGTCCCCGCAAATAATTTTAAATGTTTTTGCATATTTGAAATTCAACGTAAACTATTAGGATCTATTGATTGCAATAACAAGTCCCTTAAAATACACGTTACCTCGAGCGACTCTTGGAAAATACCACGAGCGCCAAAGGAACTCATCCAAATATCCTGGTAGGTGGTCTCGATGAACTCCACGCAGGGACTTGGTATACTGCTTCACATGGATTTCCCAAACATCCTTCACGGACTGCGTGTGGGCTCCGTTGGCAGGCTTCACGAAGTTTTCTGAGTGATTTACCTATTGATGGGAGTATCCCATCCCTGCCAAGGTAGGATTGTTGGCTAACGTGTGCTCTTCATTCGAAGACACGTACGACCCGAATTAGTCCGACATGATCAACGTACCGGGTCGCACGCGTTTTCGAATGAGAGCAGACAGCGTACGCTTGATTCGGTCTTCAAAAGTCAGTACGCCAAACCGCTTCTTCGTCGTTCTGTCGACTCCACCAAAAAGCAAACACCCTGGATGCCGCTTTCCGCAATTGTACTTGGACTTCTTCTTGAGCGACGTTTTGTCGATCTCGTCAACGGAGAGCACTCCACCAATCTAAAACATCTCATACTTCGAAGTAATAATTATCGATTGTGAAGGAATGTATCAAATCTTAAAGGTACCTTCATTTCGCACTTGAGCATGTCGGACGGGCACACGTCGCGACAAAAACTGTACCAGTCACTGGCAGTTCTGGAGGATACTTTGAGGTCTTCGATGACATCTGAGACAGGGCGTCGCGATGCCCAGTGTCGCATGATGCGTACGAGGGCTCGAATCGGCAGGTTTGACTTTGAAAAGAAATTCCCGATTTGACACTGCGCTCAACTGAACCGCACGATACGCGACGGCAGTGCCAGCGTTGGGACTTCTCGCGCAAAGTCATGGCCTTCGCACACTTGTGACAGAGCATGAGCTCTTTAATATGCCCACCCGCAAGCACCACCATAGCCACAACAGGTCGTCGACAGTAGCCCGCATAACGACGTCGAAGGAGAATTCCTCAACATCGTCGAGGCTGTAAGAAACCTCCATGGCGGCTAGTTGGTGTGTGCACGGGGGTTGAAAAAGGGTAATGAGTGAATCAACGGCGGTATTTTTTGTTTTGTGCTTAGTTGTATTGGTTGGTGCAATTGGTGGTGATGCCCGCTCCAACCGAGGGCCTTTCTACTAAGGTTTTAGGGTACACAGGACTGTTTTTTTTCGGATTGATATTGTGATAGCGGACGAGATTTGACTTCTTACTCCACACATGCATTTAAAACATATAAAATTATTTGTGGGGGCAGTACTAAAGGATTGCCAAGAGGGCACTGCAACATGGCTCCCTTGGCAAAGGTGATGGCTCTGCTTTGCATCGATGGGTAGATCGGCATCTCCAACGTAGGTTTTTGGTAGTATGTTTTCAACCACAAACGCCTGTGCTTGTGCTCGACGTCATGGCTGAACACTGCAGACAGGACGCTCCCGTTGAGATATATCGGGATAGGATGGATGCACTCACAGTGGTCGACATGATCGATGAGCCGACGGATAATCCTATTACTTAGTAGAGTCCTAATTAACAGACCAAGAAGCATATGGTCCTCTCACTTTTGATATCACCTGAATCAAAATTGAATATGCATTACCAAGTATATTAAAATAAAAAGGTAGTTGAAACTCTGCAGGACTTTCACTGTCATAGCCTGACGAGTCAGTCGCAAGTTTCAGCATATTTCAGCGGCCTGGAGATGCTTGTGCTGCACTTATTCTTCAGCCGCGTTCTTGCAGCCTCGGATGGCTGACTTAGACATATTCTTAAAAGCAATCTGAGCCGAGTACGATTGGCCGGAAGGATGTGGTGCTGGTGTACTGTACTGACGGCCCATTTCGCCTTTTTCTATCGCCCACACAAGGTCGCTAAGCTGAAGATCTGAGTTTGAGGTGGTGTGATTTCAACCAAGTAGTCTTGTAGAGACGCCATTGCAACTACCTCGATTTAAATGTTGGCCTGAATATATAGCAATGTCTTGTACAAATTCGGACGTGTGCTTGTGCAGGGCAGCAAAATGACCTTTCATCAACTGTCAAGGGTTTTTCTTTCGTCGGAGGTTTCCGTGAAACCTCCGACTATTCATATCGTTTGGTTACCGAATAAAATTGTTTATAGGAGAACTTAAAGATTCACAGTTGAAAATGACTATCATTCTTACCTTTGTTCGAGTACATCTCGAAGCCAACTTGGTTTTAGATAATTCTATTGATAGATCCTTGTGTGTAATGGATAAAACTATCCACATACGAAATTTGAGATGATTTTGTGATGATTTGATCAAACATTTGGTTCCTCGATGATGTCGACCACTGTCAAAAGGCGAATACACACAAGCCACACTATCATTCATGGCGACTGGAAGGAGTACGCAAGCCAGAGCTTGGAGGTCTCAGGTTAGCCAGCAGACGCAGCCCAATGAAGGACTCCCTCGATATTTGCATGTTCCTCGAGTGGGGCCGTGCGACGCCGTTTTGACGTGAATTGGTGGATTGATTCGACTTATTCATGCGGGACTTGACTTGTTTACACAACAGCATCCACCGAGACAAGTGCGGGAACAAGCGTCGCCATGGTGGGTTCGTGGCGGGCCACCAATTCGGACGCTCGACGCACGACATCACTGCTCGATTTATGTTCGTGTCGATGGCACAGGAGAAACTTGACGACATCGACGTGTCCCCGCTTGATCGCCATCTCCAAAGCCTTGGCTGTGCATCCTTCCCGCCGATGCGAGTGGAGAAACTGAATCACGTCCAAATGTCCATTGGACGCTGCAAAGTCCATCGCAAGCACCGTGCATCCTTCGCGGCGGTGCTCATGGAGGAATCGAACGATGTCAAGGGCACCTCGTAACGCGGCGATATCCATCGCCGCCGTTGTACATGAATAGTCGCGGGCGTGGAGGTACTAGTGGACGAGGCCAAGATGGAGTGTGTCTCGAACGTGATGGCAATGTACCTGGACGATTTCCAGCGATTTGGCCGTGTCGAGCGCTTCCGTCGACCCACGAACCTTTCGCATGTGCAAAAACTCGAGCATGGCGATATCCCCTACCGTCGTCATGTCAAAGCACCGCGACGTTGCAGCACGATACCATGTTGGGCGGCAATGTCGACCAGATTGGGGAAGGACACGTTTGGTTTGCATCGAAGGACATGACGAACCCACGCTGCATGCCCTCGCAAGAGAGCGTGCTTGAGTGCCTTTTCAAGCCACACGCAGTTGAATGGGGACAGCGACAAGTGAATCGCCGTGCCTCGGAATTCGACCTCAACGTCCACTTCCACGTGGTTCCTCCTTTTGCCAGCAAGAGTGCACACCAAGTGTCGTTGGAGGGCAAAGAGAGGGAGAAGATTGCCAAACACGCCATCCTGAAAACCCGCGATCTGCTGGAGGAGGCTTCTGTCGCACAAGACGGCGGCGGCCACTCGCGGCAACGGGCGCATGTTGGTCGCAACTGTGTTTGGATTGCGATCTTCCACCGAAACGACGTTCCGAACACGTCGCGGACCAATCAGAAGCGAGATTGGCAAAGCCCCGCCGCTTCTGCCGCCACGGCCAGACGGTGGGGAAGCGGCCGCTGGGCAAAGCATGAAGACAACATGGTGCTGTAGTGCGTGCGCTGAGTGGTAGATGGGACCCGGCATGCAAGGTCATGCCTTCCTCATCTTTCAAATCCAGGTATACGCCAAGCAGCAACCTATTCAAGGGATGGTGGAGGGTTGCCTTGTCTACAAGTCGTCGTGCTATGGGCTGAGTTTGAATGGACGACTCGTGGGACGAATGGCTTGGATCGATGAGGCAAGACAAGGAAAGGGGTGTCGAGCAGTGTGTATTTAGTGACAAAAGAGCCCCATGAGGTCCTTCACCAGGATGTTCCAAAAGATCTTGACAAAGACGGCGGCGACAATCACCCAAATCACGATCCACTCGAGGTTGGTGTCGTGCTGCCTGGCCAATTGCTCCCCGAGAACATCCAATCTACACACGCCGGTCGATCGAGAGCACCACCGTCAAACCACGTACAGTTCGCGCAGCACGTCGAGCCGCGTGTTGAGAATGTGGACGCGCTTGTCGACGTCGAGGTACTTGATCATTTTCTTGTACAGCGGTTGGTACTCGTCGTCATCCCAGAAAAAGTCGGGGTCGTCCAGCATGTCGGAATTCAGGTTGATGTCGCTCCGCTACGCAGCACGCCCGGTCGTTATCGCGTGCGATTCTGCGGCGACCCACACCTCCATGAAGAGCCGCCCGATGAGTTTGGAAATGTCCGTCTGCGAGTACATGTTGATCTCGCCCGTGTCGGCCAGCGTCTGCGGAATATGGCGCGTTGTCTGAATCGTTTCCTCGACGCGCTCCTCAAACACATCGAGCTTGCACGACTGCGCCATCGCAAACGAGATGGCAATCTTCTCGGACGCGCGGAACGACGTCAGCGTGACCACGTCGTTTGCGACCCTACATGCCCCAGCGTCATGCGCACAGATCGTGTCGAGGGAACGGTACATGTTGCTGTCGCCGTAGCAAAACTCCATTTCCTCGACATCGACGCGTTTGAGCGCCCCATTTGAAAACGCATGGATGGCTTGGCAATGCGCCGCCTCCTCCGCCTGCGTGAGGCCCCAAAACACCGTGCACCCCGTCCTAGTCGCTCCATCAAGACGGACACATCGCCAAGGAGATCGTACGCAAAGTAAAACACGTCCTTGCGCTCGATCGCGAGCATCTCGTCCGAGATGGCATCCCTATATGGCGTCGTGAGAGACGAACGTGGATGGAGCTCGGACTCGTCGCGGTCGTCCGATACACACGACGAGTGAATGACGCCCATGTACATCTTGTGCGACCACCCATTCGGGTTGAGCTCGCCGCCGGGAAGCTGCCCCGTCTGGATGCGCTTGAGCCACCGCAGGAGCTTGAATAACGCGAGCGACTCGCACGTGCAGTACGCGGCAACGCGCAGCAGTTGCGGCACGTCCGTGCTTCGCTGCACGCCATCGAGTCAGCATCGACAAAGACAACAAGGCCACGACACGTACGCGGAACTTTTTCATACTCCGCATGCGCGTGCGACGAGTGTATCGATTGATTTTGTCCTTGACGACCGTCTGAATCCGTGATGAGAATGGGAGCGGCATAACGTGGCGATTCACCTGCGTTGGAGGTCGATAGAAGAAATCGCGTAGCGCGTGACGAGATGCAGTGGATGGAGGCATCAACCTGTTCGTCTGGGACGCTCTATCGAAATCGTCATCGTCATCGACATCGCCTTCATCCTCTGTTAGCGAATCTTGACGTCGATGGGACGACGTCGTGGTGCCGTAGTTGTGGTGCTGTGGGCGAAGGTGGAGTGAAGTGCCTTCGGTAGAAGCATCCGGGTCAACACTTAACATCACGAAAGATGGACTACCTGGTCGGGATTTTCCATAGTGCACTCCCGAATCCGAGTTGTAGCCGTGGGCTGGACTCTGCAGAGGCTGCCGTTGCGACGACATCAGCGGCGACAGTTCATCAGCAGAACCGTCTTTCGCTTCCACGGTATATGCAGATCTCATGCTGCCAACGCTTTGGATCGTGCGGGGGTGAACGAATCGTCTTGTTCGGCAATCGGCGGCGCGACGGCGTCGATCGCTTGTCAAGAATATCCGAAATCCATTATATTTATTATACTGCGCTTGATGTTTTGTATACTTTGACAAAATGAATAGCAAGATATATTCTACAATTTCGATGATTTTCAAAAGAATATTTTTTTCACTTGGGGGCATTGCCGCCCGTAATCACGACCAACTTGGACGAGCACTCCGCACGGCTAACCCCATGACCAACTTGGACGAGCACTGCTATTCCGCACGGCTAGGTCCCCATACCCGATGCTGGGTACGCCCTGCCTGACCCGCCTCCGCCAACCCACCCTGCTGCACCTCGCAGTATGTGTCATCGGCGAGCGACTTTGGCGAATAATCAACGCTTGGTCGCTGCTCTCCAACACATTGGGCGAAAGGCCAACGGAATCGACTCAGCCGACCGACTGCAGCTTCGATCTATCTCACATTTCGCGAGCAAGAGGGAGTTGTCTTATTCTCGATTATGCGCAAAGAAACCAAGGATATCTTTGATCAAGATGTTCCAAAACACTTCGACGACGACTTCCGCCACAATGAGCCAAATCACGATCCATTCGAGCTTGGTGTCGTGCTGCCGCGCCAGTTGCTGGCTCAGCACGTCCAACCTACAGCCACGATGTAAACCCACCACGAACGTCCGATCACTCGTACAATTCGCGAAGGATGTCGAGCCGCGTGTTGAGAATATGGACGCGGTTGTCCACGTCGAGGTACTTCATCATTTTCTTGTACAGAGGTTGGTACTCGTCATCGTCCCAGAAAAAGTCGGGGTCGTCCAGCATGTCGGAATTCAGGTTGATATCGCTCCGCTAGACGAACGTCATCGCAATGCGAGACCAGCGAGCAATACCTCGATAAACAAGCGCCCGATGAGCTGGGAAATGTCCTTTTGCGAATACTTTTTGATCTCGCCCGTCTCGGCCAGCGTTTGAGGAATGTGGCGCGTTTCCTGGATCGTCTCGTCGACGCGCTGCTCAAACACGTCGAGCTTGGACGACTGCGCCATCGCAAACGAGATGGCAATCTTCTCGGACGACCGGAACGAGCTGAGCGTGATCGAGTCGTTGATCACGCTAGATGGAAAATCCCCCGATGACCACGACTCGTCCTCGAGTCATGCACGGACCTGCTCGTGTCGCCGTAGCAAAAGTCCATGTCTTCGACCTCGACTTGCTTGACGCTGCCCTTTGAGAACGCACGAATTGCTTGAATATGCGCCTGCTCCTCGGCCCGAGTCAGTCCCCAGAACACGGTGCACCCCGTTCTACACGACGGGTGAGCGGTGCCTTGTGTCGACAAGAGTACGCAAAGTAAAACACGTCTTTCCGCTCAATCGCGAGCATGTCATCCGTGATGATGTCCCTACGATGGCCCATGGATTGTGCGATGGGCTCGGCATGTACGTACTCTTCGCGCTCTTCCGACATGCACGACGAATGGATCGCCCCCATGTGCATCTTGTGCGTCCAACCGTTCGGGTTGAGCTCCCCACCTGGCAACTGACCTGTTTCCACGCGCTCGAGCCATTTCAGGAGCTTGAAGAGCGAGATCGAGTCGCACGTGCAGTAGGCAGACACACGGAGTAGTTTCGGGACGCCCATGCCTTGCTACAGACATTGCACTTTTCGATGAGACATTCAAAAGCACAGGGACCGAGACGTACGCGGAACTTTTTCATGTTGCGCATGCGCGTGCGGCGCGTGTACCGGTTTGCCTTTTCGTTGACCATATCCTGGTTTTGGTCAACGCTTCAGGACAATGAAGACAAACACATGCCTGGGGGGGTTTTTTCAAGAACGCACGAAGCGCGGTGCGTGAAGACTTTGCGTGTGGAAGCGGCATGCGCTTTTGGTCGACGATCTCAATCGCAAACGCGTCGTCGTTCTCTTCTTCGGACGAGCTATTATTCGTCGCGTTGTAGTGACCCGCGCCGTAATACACGTGGCGCCTCGTCGACGGCGACAACGACCCGTCCACTGTTTCAAGTCAACGTGACGATGACACAGGCCGGAACTAGAAGGACCGAGGTACCGTCGCGTCGACCGTAGTGCACGCCCGAATCCGAGTTGTAATTCAGAGGGCGTCGTGGCAGAATCAATGGAGAGCCTTCGTCCGCTGTATCGGCGTTCGCTCCCGTGTCGACAAAGCGCATGCTCGTCGTCGAAGTCGTCGTCGGTGATATCTTGCCAAAATGTCAAGTCAACACGCCATCCTGTATTTTTTCGCGATTTGGAAATTTCGGTGGTGAAAATTCGATGAATTTTGCACATGTGACTGACACAATCTCGTGAAATTTTCATGCGAACAATCCAAATTTGACATACAATTGACACAATTTCCACATTTTCAGAAATCCTGAATCTGGCGTTCGAGCAGCCAATCACATCGCTGGATTTGTTGCCCGCTGTGTGAATGGGAAGTGGCGACGCCGCGACGACAAGATGGAGTTCCTCGTCCACAACATCAGCCACTCGGACCTGATCTTGGAGCTCACGGGCGACACGGCGCTCAGAACATCGCGCAATGCGACATCGCTCCTTGCTCGTCCCAAGTTCAGCCTCTTCAATGTCGTCTCGCAATCCATCGTTCGCCAACTCGACATGATTTTGTCCCCAACGACGGTGCAAGCCGACACATACGAACGCCAGATGGACAGTCCTCGCTTCCAGCTGCGTGAGCATTGTACAACCACGTATCACCCTGTGGGATTCAGGTGCGTGGATGCAAATCGTTTGCGAGGGAGTCACCGTGACGTAGACTGGACGTGAAGCCGATCGATGTGCAGTCCCTCCCGTTGGATCTGTCGGACTTTCAATTGCGTGCGTCCGACGAAACGATTGCTGAAGTTGAGTCCTCGTGGAAACGTATTCGTATTACAGCGTGCTTCTTCCCCCTCCTTGGCAGTTTGCTGCCCAAGTGGCACCAGGTTCTCTCCGATGTTCACTCGGACGAGTCGCAGCAGCTCCTGTACCTCATCTCTGGCGCTGGCATTCCTCGCAACGCGTCGCATTCGATCTGTGGCAACTCGACAGAGTACACCGCCGAGCTCATGTCCAAGTTCGTCGCGACGTACTACCCCAACATTCACGTGACTCAAATTCACTCGGGCTCCAACATCTTTCGATACGACGACAACGTCCAGTTCATGACGCGGCAGCTTCGACCGATGCTCGAGTCCCATCGCGACGTGCTCGTGGCCAAAGTTGGGGACCAATGGAAGAGCCACTTTCATCTCACGATCGCATACGCCGACGGTCCTCCTGCCCGGTTGTCGGCGCTGAATGCCGCTTTACGCGTGTACCAGCCTTCGTATCTTCACGTGTGGCAGCTGAAAACGTACTGGCACGAGCGAAAGCTCAGCTTGGACGATGTCGATTTTCACCCGTTTGAGAATGTCGAAGCAACCCCTGCGATCGCGGTGGCCGAGCTCACGGACCCCATCGTCACTCGGCTCGTGAACGAAGTCAAATCATTCCGAGACCAATTCGTTCAAGGTAGGGACTCGCCATCACCGTCGTGGACACACCCTGCTTGACGCGAATGACGACAGGAGAGCACTTGGGCGAAGTGGGGCAGTTTTGGCTCCGCAAGTCGCGCAAGCCCGTGCTCGCGGTCCTGTTGATTGAAAAACTTGTGGACGGTACGCCCACGATCGTGGTGCATCGTGGGATGAACTGCGAAGTGTCGATGCCGACGGGGTCGCTGTGCGCCGAGCGAAACGCCATTGGGAGTGCCTTGGCCAACGACCCGACGTTGTTGCGGCAGTCGCTTAAAATGATTGCCGTCCTCAGCGTCACTCTGCACTCCCACCCGAAACAAGTCGCCATGGCGTCCGCCGCGCAACCACCTTGTTCCTCAACGGCGCTGCCCATCGACGCCCCCCCTCCTGTTCTCGTCAACGTTCCATCCTCCATCCAACGTACGGTGTCGGTTGGATTCCATGAACTAGATCGTGGTGCTGGTGTAGCATCCAACGTGGAGCGGTCGCCAAAGGCGGGTCGAAAACCCAAGCGCCCTCGTACGATTTCATGCGACGCCAGTGTCCCGGCGATTCAAGCAGCTCTGACCGCCGTGGATGCCGCGACTGCGATGGCCAAGTACGACTTCCATCTCTTCGTGTCCGTCATCCGACAAGTAGGGCGGAGAAGGACCTGAACCCTCTCGCACCGTGCGGGGCGTGCAACGAATGGCTCCTCAAAATTGCCGAAGCGAACCCGTCCTTCAAGATTGTCACGTTTGACAGCATCGACTGCGACAGCGTGTACATTCATCAGCTGCTGTGATGAACTCGATGGATTGATTTGGTTCGCCACGGGGCCCCGTCGGTTTGATGACGCGGGTGCCGCTTTTGAATTGCGCTGCATTCGTGCACCAGCGGACAAAGCTGTTGCGGCGCCATTACTCTTTTTCAGGGAAGTCCCAATGTCGAGCACATTTGCTATATCACTCGACACACTTGGAAGATTTCAATGCAAACCCCTCCTTTGACGCACGCAAATCTCATTCAGGTCACACCATGCCAGTGGACGCACTGTTGACGGAACGCTCCAGCACCACGGACCACCGAGCCATACCTTAGCATGATTCGCACCACTGCTGCCAAACAACAACCGGTGGAGGGCCTGCGTGGAAGATGACAATGGCTGCTTGGTGCTTGTCGGCAGCATGTCCCTGAGTCATGACGCGTAATGAAGATGCTGACACAGCGACGGGATGCTTGCCAAGGGAAGCTTCAGATGGCCGACGTTTGACCCTGGCGTCGCACTTGAACCGTGCCACATAGCATTGCGCGATACCTTTCGTGAGACATCGTCAACGCACTCCATGAATGAGCTTGAGGACTTGCAAGAAGAGCATTCACAGAATCGAGTGATTCCCCCAAGTTAGGCAGGGGTCACAATGGACGCAGATCGTCACGGCCTCGACGTCACTTCTCGAGACGTGTTGAATGCACCACATATCCCCGACCATCATGCCTCGCATGGTTTGGACTCGCGCATCCGCAGCTTGACGCCCTGACTCAACCTCCTAAGCTCACCACGACGTCGACGGGCAACCTCACACGACCTTGCGACAACGAGCGTTTTGATAACATTATTTTTTAGTAGAAATTGGAATAAAATCAAACACAACCCCGATGCACCCAATGAACGTGTTCAATTTTAGTGGAATTTTCGACAGACCAACCACACGATTCTCGAGTCAAAGCAGATAGTTTCTTTTTTCCAATAAAATACTAGTATTAATACTTCGATGAAATACTGATTTCCCTCTGAGTTCTAAACGGGCAAGAACTATAAATTTACACAAAATATTATTTTTCACACGTACAAATTATCACAGTTATTGATGGTGGCCAAAGAGCTAAGCGAGATGCAGTTCAGCCACCTGTCACCAAAGGCAGAGAGGTCGCCATCGACAATGCCGGTGCGAGCCCAGCAGTTCACAACAGTGAGCTGGGCCACGGATCTCCAAGCCTCCTTTGCCCAGGTCATCGCTTCGTCCAAAGGTACCTCGTACAATCGTTCTTGTCGTCCTCTCATGACCAAATCG